TTGATGAGTGGAAATATAGCTGCAAGCCACTAGGACTGCGTTATCACACGTTGGCCTTATCACTCACCGGACTATTCTAGCATTGGATTGGCGGGATTTGGACGCGGCAACAGGACGTGTCCCACGCTGAAAGCAAACCGCTTGACCTGCCCCATCGAGCATATAACTAAATATTGATTAGGCTCCGGCCGAAAACGCAAGTTTACATTAGCTTATTGCTTATAGTGTTAGCAAAACGGGAGTGCCGATAGACCTGTGGGGGTGCGTGCGTTTGAAGGGACTTGACCTGGTCTCCATAGCACAGAAAAAGGATAGCCGCTCTTAATTAAGTCACATTCATTATTTGACTTACTTCTTATTTTTGACTGTTAAGTTTATCAGAGACGGAAAGAATGTCCTTACTTTTCTGATCCAAACATCACTAAATCAAATCAAACAATAAATAATTATTCATTTCTAACAGTTAAGCACGATTTCCTTATGACTTCAAGAAGAATACATATCAATTGAAAAAATTATAGATTCTTTTATATGAGGGTCATTCAACGAACAAATTAATTATTACTTCTCAAAACCAGTTTATTGAATCAGTACGAAACTTTCAGAACATAAAGTTGGCAACCCTGCGATGTCAATTAAGATCAGCTGTTCAACCACAACCATTCATTCATATTATATGTTGTAAACAATCAAAAGTAAACATAACCTCATAATTTACTAGTTAAAGTGTTAAAGTTAACGTCGTCGTTCCGTCGTTCATTAACGGTGGCTGGCAAGTGGCAAGGCAAGTGGCAAGTCCACTCGTGACGTGATCAGATTGTTAGTTGTGGAAGGTGAGAAAAGAAGTGAAATCTACTAAAGAATGTTAAAAGTGTATGGAGACAATTAATTGTTCTAATCATTTGAACGTTTGGGTACACTTCCATATCTTTTGGCACAAACAACCGAATGAGTAATGTAAGGAATATCGTTTGGTTAGTTAGGTAAGGTTACCTAACCTAAACCAAACGATATATCAAATTAAACAATCGAACAATCAATGTTACTCATTCGGTTGTTTGTGCTAACAGATATGGAAGCGTACCCGAACGTTTACAAATGCGTAGATCAGTTTCAATGTAACCGTACAAGTTAAGAGTGACGCAGTAATTTAGACAACCGATAGAATTTGGGACTTCCTCTCTCGAATCTCGGATTGGTGTTAATTCGTGACAATAGGCGTATCACCGTTGAACTGATAAGTGAAAAATAAACGCGAGTGTTTGGAGCGGAATTGTTATATATTCCATATGATCAATATTAAATAAAAGATAGATTATTTGGAATATATAACAGGACAGCTCCAAACACTCGCGTTTATTTTTCACTTATCAGTTCAACGGTGATACGCCTATTGTCCCGAATTAACACCAATCCGAGATTCGAGAGAGGAAGTCCCAAATTCTATCGGTTGTCTAAATTACTGCGTCACTCTTAACTTGTACGGTTACATTGAAACTGATCTACGCATTTGTAAACGTTCGGGTACGCTTCCATATCTGTTGGCCAATATTTCTGGTAGACCATGGTGACTGAATATTTCTCTGAGGTAATGAATAGTACTGGCAGTTGTTGGCGCACTTTTAATCGGATATATTTCTGGCCACTTTGACCTGGCATCTACAACATGTCCATAACACTACAATTCATAAGCTGTACAAGAAAACCTATGCGAGATGGATGCCCAGACAGCTCACGGACACTCACAAAGAAACCCGGCTTCAAATCAACAGTGAAATAGTTAAAAATTGGTATTCGACTGAAGGAGAGGTTTTTTTTTCAAAAGAAGTGTAAGTAACGTGTGATGAAACTATCACTACCTATCAGTCATTCTGGGATTTTCAGGGGCCAATTTATTGTGATTTTCTTGAAGGTCAAAAACAACAACCAGTACTATAGGCGGGGGTTACACACACATGCATCTCGCACGGAGCAACTAGCATTTTTGATGCCAGTAGAACTGTGCAAGATGCATGCACGCTGCTAGTCGTGGCACTTGCTATAGTAGCAAGATGAGAGAGGTGAGGCTTTTTGCCGCTCAGTTCATTGGAAAATGTCAATGTCGTCATCGGTTGATGAAATGCTGTAAGGTGAATAAAATATTGGGTACCCCCTCATTGATGCCAAAATGTTGGAAGTTTAGACAATAAAGGGCAAGCTCTTGAAGCATCCAGGGAAGTTCCGCATGAATCCAGGCACATTTATAAAATACGTGACCTTAAAGACCACTGTGACAAAAAATAGTACCGGTAAAAATAGCTTGATTCTGTCCGTGTTAGGAGCGACTCTATTTTATCACAGTTCACAGTATGTGGTATGTGAATTTAAGAGTTTTGCAATAGCCATGTGACTTGGAAAGATATGTTCTGCGCTTGCGCCAACTCAAGATGTACGCTGCATGCAGCACCAAAACATCGAGCCGATCGGTTCCAAATGGCGCTGCACGCTGCACGCTAGCTGCACGATGCCAGTCGCATATGTGCAAGCTTCGATTTATTAACACAGTTGGTCTTCAAGCTGCATGCTAGTAGGAAGAAAAATGCTAGTCGCACCGTGCGAGATGCATATTTGTGTAACCGGCCTAGGTTACAGTGACATGCTGGAAAACAAGACCTGCAATTGGAACAATATGCGGTAGGCTCTTAACTGAAGGCACGATTTTGCTTCATAATGCCCGTCCACATTTAAGTTACAACACAGCTGACGAAAGATAAACTTCAGAAACTGGGATGGATGGGAGATATTTCCATTCCCCCTACAGCCCCAACCTCACCCCATCTGACTTCCATCTGTTTGGGTCCCATAAAGATGGTCTACGATGTCGATGGATACATTTTTGATCCAATGAAGATGAGGTAAAAAATTTAGAGAAAAAGTAGCTTTGACATCAATCTTAAGAGTACCAAGGGCATAACAATTAGCAGAAAGATGGGACAAGTGTAGGCTATAATTGTTGCTGGGGACAAACCTGCCGTCTAAGCGAATTTCCATTTGGCTGAATTGATTTACAATTGATCTATTTAAATAACATTAGGTTTAACGAGTATCTGGGTTTGCTGCTACAAGGAAACTAATAAAGTAGTGTGTTTTTAGTAAAATATTGATAGCTTACCGTACTATAAAATAAATAAATTTGCCAAGTTTGATCAAAATATATCCATAAACAAGCAAACTACAACATTTTACAATATCCTACTAATATTATAAATGAGAAAGTTTAGATGTATGGATGTATGGATGTATGGATGTATGTTTGTGACAAGTGAACGCGAAAAATACTGGTCGGATTGGGCTGAAATTTGGCATGATGATAGCTCACATTCCCGATTAACATATAGGCATATTCTTATTTCAAAAATCCTTTCGGGCTCCGCCCCAGTGGCTCTGGAGTTTCCCATGTTAACCTTATGAGAAATGAAATTATTGAATCTTAACAGCTGTTTCAATTAAACAAGTTGGTTCTGTTCTGTGATGTTCAATAGCTTTAAAGTTACAAAAATTACTAACAGGGTGCAGCACTATTATTTCTTTTACATTTATGACAACAGCTAATTTGCAACCAAAAGGTGAGTGAGCGTAGCGAACGAACTTCAACCTGGAGGCGAGTTAGCGTAGCGAACGAGCTAACCTGAAGGCAAGTGAGCGCAGCGAACGAGCTCAAACTAAATGTGCGTGAGCGTAGCGAACAAGCTCCAACCTAAAGGTGAGTGAGCGTAGCGAACGAGCTCCAACCTAAAGGTGAGTGAGCGTAGCGAACAAACTTCAACCAGGACGTGATTGAGCCATGCGAACGAGATAATCTTGAAAATTAAGAAGTTAAACGGGGCAAAGCCCGCGGGTTACAGCTAGTTCTCCATAAGAATAACATGGGAATTTTAAATTTACCATTTTTTTAGTTTTCTCCGTAACCAATAACCGTACAAAAACACTTTGATATACTGAATTGTTTGTTTTTTTAAGCTCTTTAAGAAGGTTTAGAGAAAAATTGGGAAATTTTGTGTTTTGAGGGTAAGAAGTGAGAAAAACAAATTTTTACCCCATAAAACCCCCCATAAAACCCTGTTCCCATGGTCCGATCATGCTGGATCGCGAACTCATTCAAGTTTATCCCGCCTTACACCTTCAAACCAAATTTCATCAAAATCGGATAAAAATTACTCAAGTTATCGTGTTCACGGACACATATATATATATATATATATATATATATATATATATATATATATATATATATATATATATATACATATATAAAAATTTGAACGAATGGTGTTTTTGGCCTCTGGGGACATTAAAATGAAAAAGTAAATCGGTCCCGGGCCTAAGTCTTACCATGAGACCTACGGTAATAGCTACTTCCCTATAGGGAAATTCGCTAAAAGTAACCAAAAGCCTAAAAACCGTTTTTGAGCAATAATAATTTGTCTCGTTAGACCTCCTACTTATTGAACGACCCCTCGTATAAATTGTTATTAGTAGCCTAAGTTATTAAAGTTTAATAATTGTACAATTTACAAAATGTATTGTTGTAAATTATAAAACAAGTACGCAAACGAATACCGACATTACTGAAGAAAAACTCTACATTAACACAACATCCTTATATTACAAAATATGTACCGGTAGGCATACTGAGAGGGTAGCAAGCTGGTCTAGTGGTAGAGTACAAGGCTTATTTCTTGGGCTCAAATCCCGCCAAATCACCAACGGATTTGATCTAAGGTATAATGCCGCTATCCCTAGGTCTAGCATGAAGTAATGTGAGAAACAATCCTGGGCTCATGCCTATCATCCTAGGATAGAAAAAAAACTGTACATAATGTTCTCTGAATAGATAATAACTATACCTCATTCATCTGACTAAATAATTCTAGCCTACATTTTACTCCTATTCTGAAAGAAAATGTAATCCTTTAACCCAATTTGGAACCATAATTTTAATAGATAGTTGGTCTTTTTAGATAATGTTTCAACAAATTCCACGTCAGAGACGACGACGACACCGCCGCACCCACCTCCTGAGCCACCCAACACGGAGAAGGAAGGTAGAGCTGTCAGTCTCAACTCCACCTCTGCCCCTGGGCTGCCTCCTCTGGACGACGTGACCATGGATGATGAGGACACAAGCTGTGACCAGTGTCCACCTCCTCTAGTCCGCAGAGGCACCAACACTGACCCACTGTGTCAGGAGAAGCCACAGGCCGACCACTGTTGTGTACAGCTGGTCTGCGCCCACCAGGCACAAGGTGTGTATCCCCCGACACAAATTATGTCTTAATATCTGGGTTTATTTTCCGATTTCATAATAAAATTATGTTGTTTGGCTAAAATATATATTTTTTTAATAATCTTTTCCTCATACAGTACTGCAGTAAAAATACTTAGCCGTTTTAACACATGCCTTGCAGTCTAAAGTACCATAGCATTTTTACTCCCTGGGGCGTAAAAAGCCGTTTTAGTCCCTAGGGAGTAAAACTCAGCTGTTTTAAACTCAATTGTAAATTTCAATTGTAAGCAATCGCAGGTATCAAAATGATGTATCGATTGTTTCCATTGAGTGTACCTTGTTGTTCCATTCTTGTCATCTGGCTTACCGTATGTTATAATAGTAAAATGTACATTACACATTTGTAATAGATGCAATGATTTAACCACATACTAAGCAGCTGCTTATTTGCATTTGCAAAATTGAAAACATGTAGAAAGTTGTTTTAAGAGGTTATTGTCCATTCAAGGGTATTTGCAGTTATAGGTCGGCCGCTTAGAAAACGACCTCCTCCAGCATTGGTTTAGCATTAGCGCGCAGGTCGTTTTCTAAGCGGCCGAACTATAGTTACTTACCTGGTGAGTTACAAAGGCTGAGGATGTTTTATTTGACTTTTTATCTAGACATGGTGACAATTTTAGCTTTAGTTCATTCACAATATACAGTTTGTTTACTAACTGTTTAATGGGTTTTTTTTCCTGCATAGTAGGCCTTTGGTCAAAAGAAAAGCATGTGCATTTGTTCTCAAAGACCCATTTAAAAATTTACTTGAAGTTGCTTAGATAAGATCTATTATAAAAACTATTGGGTCCTAGTTCAAAGTTTAACTTTACCATTAAAAGTCATATCTAATTTTGTATTCTAATTTATTGATCATCGATGAATATCAAAGTTTTAGACATCTCATGAAAGTTAATATTAACCACTAGGTACTAAGTTTGCCACTGTATATTTTAGATGTGGATTCTGTCATTTTACAGATTACTAAGGCTTTATTGTTTTTCATTCTAGACAAGCCAAATGGAGCTTGTGTGTACAAAAATGAAACTTACCAGAAAGGAGACACATTCAATGATGCATGTGAGGCAGTTTGTTCATGTGAAGAAGGTGGATTTGTATCCTGCAAACCAAGGTAAACAGAAATGTGAACTACAACTAAAATAAACCTAATATTTTAGCTATCCAATAAAACGGCAGCTCATATAATTAAATCAAACAAAAATTAGGATGTTACTTTTAATAGGACAATTTTAATGGGAATGAATAAAAGCACAAAATTGTTGGCGAAGATAACATGAAATCATAGAGTAAAAAACTTCCCACCCTTTAAAACCTATCATGGAAATATTAAAACATCTTTATGGAGGCATACCAAAGACGAGTGTGTTAGTGTGTTTTTATGTTTTCATTATTTCATTTCCTACTAAAAATTCTAGAGGGATTCATCTAAGGTAGACACATCATAGTTAAGTGCATCCCACGATAACTTCTACTTAACTTTCTCATTAGAAACATGACATCTGTATATTTTGGCTAACTAACAGTGTTGTGCAAACCTGATGCTTTCAGACTTTTCCAATTCATAACTTCAAGTTTCCTCTAAGTTAAAATAATTGTCAAGGGGAAAAGATAGACCATGAAAGTGTTTTCCAATAAAAGTTATTTAGAATGAGGCAATCAAATTTATAAAACTACAAAACGTTTGTTGATCCCATATAATGTGTATTTCTTCAAATATTAAAAATCTATGTTTATTACTTCTAGTGTATTATTGAAAATATAATACTAACCTGACCTTTTCTATGTTTATTTTTTAACAAAGATATTTATGTCTTCTTGGTATGCATTAGGTACAGTATGCTTTACAAACCATTCCATTGTCTATTCTTAAGACAAGTTCAGACATCACTTACCATACTCAAACTCTTAGAAAGTTTAAATCTAGTTATTATTATTTGCTGTCTAGACTATTGGTACCAAACTATTTATAGGTACTTGCATCAATAGAGAATGTTCCCAAACAATGTTTGTTACAGATGCCCAGCAGTCAACAACACAAAGTCAGAAAAGTGCCTCACTCTGCCAGACACCAAGGACCCCTGCTGCACTCTGGTGTTGTGTGACGTATCTCTGGACGGCCATGATGCTTCCAAACCAGGTGAATAACAATATACTCAGAAATTTTATAACTTAAGTACAAGTTCTCTATAAAGTTAAGAAGTTTTTAATGCATGAGAATGAGAATAATGACTTGTATTTGACTAATTTATATAAAATGTAAATTACATTAGTCAGTTGAAAAGGTTGAATTTGATAAAACAACAAGTATTTGAGAATGAGAATAGTCAGTTAATTGTATTTTAGAAAGTATCATCATTGACTTTATATCTACACAGTGTGTAGATAAAAACTACAACAGATTTGCTATCAAGCATCGGCATATATTTATCTATAATACCGCTCGGCTTATACGTAAACGGAATTTGCTCCCCATATATTTCTTACGGGAGTGTAATTTTGTTTTTCTTTTTCGAGTTCGTTTGGCTCTTCCACCCAACTGATGTTCATGATTGAGGTCTCAAATTGAAGGTATGCATGCACAGATTTGTCATCAAGCATCGGCATATATTTATCATTAATCCCACTCGGTGTATAAGTAAACAAAATTTGCTCCCCATGTATTTGTTATGGGAGTTAAATTTTTCTTTTCTTTTCCGAGTTTGTCTTCTACCTAACCGATTTTCATGGTTGAGGTCTCAAATTGAAGGTATGCACGCACAGATTTGCTTATCAAGCATCGGCATCTATTTATCTATAATCCCACTCGGTGTATACATAAACGAAATTTGCTCCCCATGTATTTCTTATGGGAGTTAAATTTGGTTTCTCTTTTCCGAGTTCGTTTGGCAATTCTACACGACCAATTTTCATGATTGAGGTCTCAGTCAAATTGAAGGTATGCATGCTCGGTTTTGCCATCAAGCACTGGCATATATTTATCTACTATCTCACTCTGCCTACACGTAAACAAAATTTTCTCCCCATGTATTTCTTAAGGGAGTTAAATTTGGTATTTCTTTTCCGAGTTCGCTTGGCTCTTCTACCCGACTGATTTTCATGGTTGAGGTCTCAAATTGAAGGCATGCTCACCAAGTTTTCAGATCAATCATATGCAAATATTTACCTACTGTATTACTCGACCAAAACACATACTGTAATTTGATTTATTTTTGAAAATCTGAACTGAGCTATTGAATTTTTAAAAATCAATAGCTTCAATATTGTTCATGTTTTTCTTTATGTTTAAACTCAAAATAATCAGTAAATGATAGGCTTTAATTTGAGCTATTATGAATGTTTGAATCAGTTAAGCTCAAGATAAACTGTATTACTCAATCAAAAATCATAAATTTGATTATTTCTCTAAGATTATATCTATTTTAACGCTGCGAAGCAGCATGGGTCCTCTATTATACTTTATTGTTTAGATGATTCCGACGAACCTGTGTCACTGAGACTAGTGGCGATCACTCCGTTAAACAGCTCAGCAGTCATGATAGAACTTGCCCAGCCTGTCAACAGTTCTATGGCTGAGGTGGAGACTTCTCTTGATGGGAGCATTTGGAGTCCAGCAACAGGGAAAGGTTTGTTGGTGGGGGAACTACAAGCAGGAAAGACGTACAGCTTCAGGGTGAGGATGGGAGCAACCCTCAGCAATGTAATGCAAGCCACTCTCCCAGCTTCTAAACTGACTGGCAACATGTGCGAGTACAAAGGGAAAAACTACACCAGGGGTGAGTTTGTAGCCAAGACTGTTGTTTGGTTAGAAAAATATGGTGTACCTGAATAGAGTTTTCTGAGGGTATCATGAAAATCAGATTCATACAATGTAGACAGGGTGCCTTGTGAGTAAACAGCCAAACACCAGGAAATGGTTCATAGGGGGAAAATAAAGAGAAAATCAAATAGGCTATAATATTTTCCCAAAAATCCTTATTTAACCAGATGTTTGTCATTTTTTCACATACACATTTTTATCTTAAAATTTTTCCAACTGATCTTTCATCCTTATGATACCTATTATTTGTGTACATTCTGCTTGATGAAAACATCGTAAATACTGTATGCAACTTTTAGCCTTTGAGGGTTTTAAGAACCTCAATAAAACATCGTGCAATGTTTTTGTGCTACTTAATGTTACTTTGGACTGTATAATACTTTTCAATTAAAGTTATTGTAGAACTGACTGTACAACTAGAAAATTAGTTTTAAGCATGTAACCTAAGAGAAAAGAAATACAGGGAAGGTAGTATTTTCACCAAAGACATTATGTATAGGCGATTTCTGACTGAGTATACCAAAGCTCCTGGTGGAAGGGCAGTTAGTGATGTAAATGAAGAATTTCTGCCTTAGTTTAGCTTCAGTAGTCACATAACTTTAAAAAAGTGTTGTGATTATACAGCGAGTTTTTTTTTACGCAATTAAATGATAAATTTTATCGCAGACAAAATAAAGACCAATACCATTAATCACTCTGCCTCTCGTGAGCCGTAACTTATCTAACAATAGTGTCTGTTAGGTGAGGAGTTCCATGATGGTTGTGCTGCGTACTGCGTGTGTGGCAAGTCAGGCGTGGAGTGTGCCTCTATTGACTGTCCGACACACTTCGGCCTAGACGTGCTAGATCCTCATTGTCTCTCCTGGGAGACTCAGCCTGCAGACTTTGTACCTGTTCCTCCCAAGTGCTGCCCTGATACTGTCAAGTGCAAGGACAATGGATCGTGCATCTACATGGGTGAAACGTAATTTCTCTTTCTGATTAAAAATAAAATATTGATCGATCTAGTGTAGTAAAAGTTTTTAGATATTTGATTTCTACAACATAGTTGGTAAAGAGGATTTCGTAAAGAATATAAAAACTGCGATGATTAGGATCTTTTATAAGGCTTACCTAAATAATACAGAGTCCAATCTGGTACAAAAAAAAAACACAAAACTTACAACACTATATAAAAAAAACCTAAAATATCATTGTCACTGACAGCAATTTTCAACTAAGGAAGGTATGAGTTGTAGAACTTTTAACTTATATGACAACTCTCTTTTCAAGTCATACCTCCCTTGGTTGAGAATTCTGTAAATGACAATAGCATTCTAGTTTTGTTGACTAAATAGTGTAAAGTTTAGTTTTTCTTGTGCCAGATTGGACTCACCCTCATTCAGAAGCCTACTACCCTCACAAAAACTCCTAAAGCCTAGTCCTTGGGCTCCTATGTTAAATATCCTTAATTGTGATGATTTTTGTTCATTTTCCAGTTATATTGAAACTGTTACCTACACAATTCCAAGTAATATTTTCTCATTTTGACAACCTTTTAAAAAAAGTGTGAGGAAAATGTGGCACAAAACTTTTAGGTAGTTAGTTAGTGGGATGATGATTTTTCTTTTAAATTATTACATCAAGCTTAAGTTCTTAACAACAATTTTTAAAAGCGGTTGCTATGTTTAATAAAAGTGTTTGATGATCTGAGCAGGTTCCCCAACTGGGCAGACATCCCTAGCAAGCTGTCTGGCTGTGAGCAGAGATGTTACTGTGAGATGGGCAATATCACGTGTCATGCAGCTTGTCCTCCTGTACCTGCTACGCCTCCCCCCACCCTGCCTTGTGACTCCAAGGAGGCGATTCTCTCTCACCAACCAGACGACGAGTGTTGTCTGTTCTGGATGTGTCCTCCCCACTCTGGTAAACCAACACCACTTTGTGCATGCTTTGTGCCACTTTGTTTTACTGTGTTGTGTTTGTGTGTGCATTTTGTGCTTGAACAAATTGTTGTGTTTGCTAAAGATTAACTACATGCATTATCATATTGTTTATTGTCACTACTGATAATATGTTTACACTTTCTATTAGGGGTTTCATTTCTTCTACCTCTATTTGGCAATTTAACGCTTTCAGTGTCGTAGGACTGACGTAGTATTCATTCTCAAAATGTGAGTATTGAATAGAATCTGAGCAAATATTGTAACATTTTTATTGAAAGTACCAGTGGTATTCAATCATACAAATTTAATTTTGCTACTTTCTGGAACCATTTTAGCTCATGTTCATATTAACAAAATAATGCTTTTGAAATGTCATCGGAATCTTCAACTTTTTCTGCTTTAAATCTGTACACATTATTGCCAAACCTATAATAATGCTCCATTAACAATAAAAAAAGTTGCAATAAATAATCCTATATGAAGCCACACTGAACAGTGGTTTTATAGGTTTTTCAGCATGAATGGCATAAAACATTGAATTATTTCAAATTTATTTCAGGCATACAATTGGACATGAGACCAACTAAAACAGTTATGACTGATGACACTAATCACAAAACAATTAACGAGACTACTACATCAAGCACATTACTTCTCGGGCCTTTCAATCCCAACTTAAACACGACTCAACCACTGAAAAATAAAAATTACAAAAACCAAACAAACAACAAAAAAGACTACTTTCCTGGTCCTTTTAGTCCACAACACTTAGAAGAAGAGACTAGAAAAGGTCCAACTAAGCAAAAATCTGAAACATCAACTAAAGTCAAGTCCCATAAAGAAAATCCTTTGGTTGATATTTTGGCACCTTTTAACTTACCACCATCAGAAATCCCTGATGTACACATTTCTGAGAGTCCTGCAACAAACATTTCTGGCCACAAGGGTAAAGAAACTCATGTGCCAGATTCAAAATTCGAAGACGATCTTCCTAACACAAATGAGGGAATATTTACCCATTTTCCATTCTTGTCCCCTCCTTTAGCCAAACCATCAAAGTATGATAAATCTAAGCCAGGTGTAATTCCAAACCAGGTTAGTAACCCAATACACCAAAACTTTAATGAGGATCAAGGAAATGAATTTCCTGGATTATTCCAGCCTAGCAAGTCTGAACTCTACCATCAAAGCATAAACAACACAGGCTTTACTCAAAAGACCAATGATAATGATCCCAAGCATGGCCTCACTCCGCCTGGCCAAGAGAATGATCATGAGTTTCAGTATGAAGGTGAGAAAGTTCCACCGTCTATTTTACATCAAAATGGAGGTCACCCTATTAATCCCAATCAAGTTTATTATATTCACGATCAAGGTTTCCCTCCTCAACAAATACCCCACAATGGTCAACCTGCACCAGACATGTTTCATGTTCAGCACTTCCAGATCCCTTACGACCCTAACGTGCAGCCACCGCCCCCGAGATACAACAAAAAAAAGCCAGTGGACAAATACCATGGACAAAATCCTCAAAGACTTCCCCAAGAAATACTGACACATTTGCACAATCTAGCACCTCATCTTCCAAAGGGTGGACAAATCCCATCTAATTTTCATCCAGAAGAAATAATACAATATGTACAACCAAACCCTCAGTTGAATGCACAACATCCCCATCCACCAGGTCACTTCCTTACTCCTGAAGAAGTATACTTGTATCAAAACCCAGATAAATTACCCAATGGAGGAAATATTCAGCCTCAGACAGCCCAAAATCAAAACAGTGCTCCTCCTGGGAGAGGAACTATACATATCCATAGTCCAAATATTCCTACATCTCCCAGCCAAAGGGTGGAGGAGATATTGGCTCACCTTAGAAATCGAAATCCTAACCAATACCAGGGACCTTTTCCCCCACCACCATACCAGGAATCACTGTTGACTCAACACTCGTCTCATGCGGCCGTCCCTCTCGGTCTACCCAACAACAGTACTCGCCCAGGTTTGTTCCTAAGTATTGCACCCTTCTTGCCATATGGGTTGTTATGGGGTTTGGATGCATGCACTTTCTTAACTCTGGTTATTTACTCCATGACAATTGATAGGATGATTTCAAAATTTTGTAACGGCTAACTATACAAAACCGATTTGATGAAATTCTGCTTGAATTTGGGTTTTGAATATTGGTATTACATTAGTATGCCAGCCCACCTTTGCCATCTTGTTTCAGTGTTCACTACTAGCTTTCCCATATGTAACTTATAACGTGATGGTACTTCAATGTCTCTAGTTACTAAATATACTAGAATGAGAATGTATAAGGTGACAAGCACTGGAAATATTTAACTTATACTTATACATATTTTTCTGGGATTTTCGTGAACAAATAATATCACACACATAGCCTATTACAGCTTAAATGGTGAATGATTGTGCTTAAAATCATTGGGTTTTGCAGCAGGTAGATTTTAACCAGATGACTAACCATTTTGATCATGATTTTATTTTGTGCATGATGTTTGTGATTATTTTAGAGTAAAGAATCTTTCTAGAACTTAGAGATAGACCACAGCCTAATGTCTCTAAATAAATACTTAGTTAGAAATTTCCCAACAGCTAAATCGTACAAAATATTGTGGTGTTTAAGGGGGTTTCAGAAGCAACGGGTGTAGAACAATATAAAATATTTAGTATAACCGATGGTGCGCTTATCAGTTGAAATGTTTTCTGAATAAAACTGAAATAATTCAGTCGACTTTCTTTTTGAGAGGTTTTTTACAGCAATGGTTGTTTATAAAAAGAAATCAAATCTTTTAAATCTTAAAGAATCTATGCGATAAGCTTTACACCATGATGTAGTATCAAATGTGTTTTGGTTAGTTCCACAATCTGATTCTCAGCATTCCCTTTGAAGATTCTTAGCTCTGATTTAAACAATGGACCCTATACAATATAATTTTTTTAAACAGTACTGTACATCAAATTTCTACAATATCGTCCTCTAAAAATAATACACCTATTACAAAGTATTTTGCATGCAGAACAAAGCATGGGAAGTGCAAACAATTACATGATTATTAAACATTAAAACAGTTTTTTTTACATGATTTGGTTAAAACTAAATTAGTTAATTAGTTATAAAATAATCTACCTGAAAATGTTAAGTTTTGATTTTTTCTGCAGGGAGGAAGACTGTATACCTTCAAGCTGTTATATATAAAATAATTTTGATTTTTCAGGTTTTACTAATACGTTGCCAATCCACGGATTCCCTCAACATCCTGGAACTCAAGATCCAAGTAAGTAATTTTAATGTTACTTTAGCACTAGCAGTGAAATCTGGCTTGCCTGGTTCTAAATACAATGCAAAATATGGTTATAAAACCACTTTTGAAAGCAATAATTTTATCGACCGATATTTTGTTTGAAGATGTTTTGAGTCTAGTATTGTGTCGTTGTTCTATAGTCGTTCATATAAGCTGGGGGTGGTGGTACTCAGATCGCACAGTTGGGGATGCTTTCGCCACTAACGCCAGAGATGTCCCTAAAGATCCACTGTTGCAGAAAACGATGATGATATCCTCCATGGGAGATATTCACAATTTTATCACTCAATTTTTTTATAGATTGTGTTAAGTAATAGCGGTTGAAGGGGATCATAAATCTTTTTACTGTGGAAAAGTTTATAGCATTACAACAATAGTGTATTATAATGTCCTACTTCTTTCAAGTGTTTACCGGTACCATCTAGTTCTCTCTATTTATCTAAATACTTAATACAAATAAAGGTATTCTCTGTAAGATCCATTTTTTGCCAGTCAACCCTTCAGTTAAATGTTCAACTAGCCAGATAGTAAACAAGAAATTAAATAGTTCATGAAAATGGATTTTAAATAACCTAGGCTGTAACCTGATTGAGGTAGGTTAGTCACTCTTTAAGGTATAAATAAACAATCAACAAATTGTAATGGTTACAATACCAAGTGTTCGATTAGTATTTTTACTAACCTAATACAGTAGAACCTCGGTTAACCGAGGTAATTGGGACCGAGGGTACCTCGGATACGGCGAACCTCGGATAACACGGAACGTAACCTAAAAATCGTTACCGGGGCTAAAAATAGCTCAAGATATACTAAAACATGAACAAAAGTTATTAACTGAACTGTTGTTTAGTTTATTAGTACAAGAAATGTTATTAGTACGCAATAAAACGTGAGAGGAAACGGTAACACTCACAATACTAAAGACTGTTTTAATATAACACTCAATTTATTGCACAACTGAATACGTATGATATAGGCTACACAATGTACAGAAGTTTAGTTACAGTACAGTATTCCTGTTTACAAAATTAAATCAAAGAAATGAAAATTAATTTACTGTACATTGTACAAAAATAAACAAAGTAAGCTAATCTTTTTTCCCAAAGAAATCAGTTATTGTTTTTTGACTTAGATTAGAGGATCTTAGGCTAGCCGCCCTGTTGCGCCAGCGTCGCAGCCAAACTAAATCGTTTGTTGTTGCGGTTTCTTGTTGTTCAATGTATGCCAGTGCTCCCTCGATCATTCTTAGACCTTCTGTATGTGATATTTTCTCAGTCACCCCATCAGGTTCATCGCTGTAAAAAAAACCTTTGTTTTACGTAACCGTAACGCAATCAAAAGGCAGCAGTTGGAATTGGTATGAAATTAGTTTTGGATTGATGAATGGGCAACATTTAACTAAAGTGTAACAAATATAGTTGTGTTAAAAAATTGATGTTGGATTATGTTTTTATGTTAAAATTTTGCATAAATAAAAAATCAAAAACTTACTTGTCATCATCTTCTGGTTGGTTGAGCATCTGGATAATCACGTCATCAGTTAGGGCCTGATCCTCATCTCCATTGATCCATACACTGATGTCCTCTGCACTGATGGGCTCAGCCACTGGAAGATGGTTACAAAGATCCACAAGCTCTTCATTTTCAGGAGGACATGCTCTTGGCTGGTTTTCAGGAGCAGCTGTCTCTTGGCGGCTTGCCTTTTCAATTCCGAAAAGTTTGCGCCATGACCTTCTTATAGTGTCCTCCCTAACGTTATCCCAAGCTTCTGACACCCAGTAGACAACATCTTTCATTGTGATTAACTTGAGAGCATCAGTGACACCCAGCCCGTCCTCTAGCTTCTCAGTAGATTTCTAAGCAGCCTCTTTTTGTAGTTTCGCTTAATAAAAGTTTCTAGAACTCCCTGGTCTAGAGGCTGGATGAGGGCAGTAACGTTTGGAGGCAAAAATAAGGCTCCAATGCCATCGCTGACTAGCTCATCAGCATCTGGATGGGACGAAGCGTTGTCAAGAATAAGAACGGCCTTGCGAGGGAGTTTTTTGTTCTCCAAGAAAGCTTCAACGACTGGAACGAATTCCTCAAAAAACCATTGGTTGAAAATCCGCGAGTCCATCCATGCGTTTTTCTGGTTTGTGTATGTGCTGGGAAATGCGTCCACATTAGTATTTTTAAAAGCACGTGGCTTTTTATACTTGCCTATTACAACTGGTTTGAGTTTCAAACTTCCTGCAGCATTGGCACATCCTAAAACTGTAACTCGATCTTTAGATTTCTTATACCCAGGAGCTGATGTTTCCTGCTGACTGGCTAAAGTTTTTGAGGGCAACATTCTGAAGTTAAGGCCTGTCTCATCACAGTTGAATATTTGATCGGATGTAAGACCCTCACTCAAAATCAATTTTCTTATTTTTTCTTCAAAAACTGTCACATCAGTTTCATTACCTGAAAGTTTTTCCCCAGATATATTAAGTTGCCGCACTCCATAACGGTTCTTCCATCGCATTAACCACCCGGAACTAGCGGTAAAAGGTTCATCACCATCGCCAAAAGATTTATGGAAATCTAGCGCTTTTGCCTGCAAAATAGGCCCACTTATTGGACTTCCCCTTGCTCTCATTTCCGAAAACCATAAGAATAAAGCCTCGGAAGTTTTTTCATACTCACACTTTTTAAACGTTTTTCTCTCTGAATTGCAATTGGAATTTAAGCTCTGAGCACCCCATTTTTCCAACTCAGCCCTCTTCCTCCTCCAATCTCCGACGGTAACCTCACCAACATCCAAGTCTTTAGCGACTGTTCTTATTGACTCACCATTGTCCAGACGACAAATCGCATTTAGTTTAGTCTCTAAGGACACAACGACACGTTTGCGTTTAGCACTCATTTACACCTACTGTAACTGCACTTAAACACACAATTAAAAAACAGTGATAGACACTTGACTTGTAGAAGTAAACAAAGGACTGCCACTGAGACGAAATGGCGTCTTCGGGCAGACCGATGATGCACGAACACATCCGAGCTGAAGCTGTACACCAGGACAGCCCACTAGATGCGCAATAAGCTACGGAGTCGAATCGGGGTGGTGGGGAGAGCGAGTGGCTCAGTCGCGTCTCGGCATTGGTGAAACAGTTCGCATTGGTCCGGCGGCGAGCGTTGTCGGGTTACAACACCTGCAGCTGCTCTGGCGAGCGGTGTCGGTTGACAGTGCCGTATGCAATCGGCAAAGATAAGCGCTAAGCTACGCAAATATTTGGCCGAGGAAACACAACAGTTGCCAACATTTTACTGTACAGTAGTTTTAACGCATTGCAGGCTAGCGTGCGTATTGCGATAAAAGGAGCACCCAAACGCTCATTACTGTACGTAGTTTGTGCGTGTTTCTTTTGCTTTTTAAATAAAAAAAATCATTTGCCTCTAAAAAGAAGTTTTGAACTCTATTAAAAAAGTGCAATCTGTGCACGAGTCCATTTGTATAATATCTTATGACTCAAGCAATGTCACTGATCACCAAACAGCTGTTTATCCTTAATGTAATTAAGTTACTGGTACCCTAATCAGCTGTTTCTATGTTCAGATGAAATCAAGGTGCATACCCTGGAGGCCATCGATGACTCGTCTGTTAGACTCATATTCTCCGTCCCCAGTGTGTTGGTAGGACTACATGGTAGAGTCGAGTTGCGCTACACTTCAGATAGAAAGTGAGTGTGCAAAAAAGAATGACTACCTGTGTTTAACAAATATTAGGAAATTATCACCGTTCTTAATACTAAATGATAAAGTAGAACTAGCTTGGAGCGGACATGAACGTTTCAAATTGTCAACCAATAGGGAATTTTTTTAGCATGGCTATGTAGAAGCAATACAGCCTACAACGGCTAGCAACCTTAAAGCTAGTGTGAATACTAGATATTTTGTCGGAATAATTCAACACACGCCTTTGTAAGGGACCAAACATTTTCATCCGACAGTTTAAATACATCAACAAAATTATGGAACCAAATACTTTTGATGTGTGATGCATGAGGACTACAATGACAATGTTTGAGTGTCGGTTTCATTCCATGTAGTCAGTGACAACCAAGTGTTACTATAACTTAAATAGCATTTTACGAAACAAAGCTGTGTACTTCACAGCCACACATTTCTGACTTAGCTATGTATGCATTTTTTGTCTTTTTCAAAAAACCTGTCAAGATAAAGTGAAGTCCGTATTAACATGTCCAAATTCATGAGGGAACAATGTATGATGAATAATATAAACAAACTTTAAAGCAAAGATTAGGGAAAAATTATCATAGCCATTTCCTATGAATTTTCTGAACCATCTCTATGAATGATACGCTAAAATGTGAATGTACATTATTTACAATATTGTAATTTACACTTTTTGTCTTCCGGTGTTATCTAAATATGGTACTATATCTTATGGTATGATGAAACAGGAATAGTGATCCTTCGACATGGGAGCAACAAGTCCTTGCTCCTCCTGATGATCTCATCGCTACTCCCGAACTCGAGTTTGAGCTCGGAAACCTCGAACCAAACACAACTTACAAGATAAAGATCTCTATAGTTCTGCGAGATTTACAGAACTCACCAGTGAGTGACATACTTACTGTGAAAACACTTCCAAAAAGTGAGTTGGTCAGAGATATTATATTGCTATAAAATCAGAGATATTATATTGCTTTGACACAAGAGTCTTTTGTTGTTTTTCTTAAAGATGTTACTATAAGTACGTCTCAATTTTTTTACACTATTTATTGATGTTGGAATAAAGAGGGCTTTATTCATATCACTCTTTGCTGCACTCTATTTTATAAGTAATTTATTATACCTACTGAATATTTATGACTATATTATCAGTCACTTTAATGAAAGTTTTAAGCACTTTTGTCTAGAAAATATGGATCCAAGCAAACATTATTTCGGTTACAATCTAAATATAATAAATGTAAACACTTTTTCAGCAACTTCTGCTACTTTGTATCCTCCAGAAATCCCTGTAGACCCGGAGTTGAGGGTGGCAGAACTGAATGCTACCTGGGTGAAACTGGTCTGGAGAACATTTAACGAGTTTGAGCTTCAATTCATTGATGGAGTGCAAATCCGGTACAAGGAGCCTCATGCTCAGGTCAGTTTTATGTTTGAAAACACATTTTTGCTCCAAGTCTGAAAGCTGCTTGTTTGATTGCTAACAGGGCTGTAAAATCGTAAAACATAGCAATGGTAATAAAGTAAAATAAAACAACTAAAGAGCTGTATTGGTATCCCATCATGAAAATGTTTGTGTTGCAGGTGTTCTCAGCCACCCCTCTGATCCACCGAGCTGTTACGAGCTACACCATCGAGGACCTCAAGCCAGACACCCTCTACCAGGTCGGCATCTACTTCATACCTTTCCCTGACCAGACTACAGAACTACGGGCTCATGAAAACATTGAGATCACCACAGCCATTGAAAATGGTATGTCATTTAACCTAGGATGGTAGAGTCTAGTTAGTTTGAGTTACCTATACAACTAGAATACAAACATTACTATTTTTATTTTTGTATAGTTTTAATTTTTGACTTCATTGGAGTAGAGTAGGAAATAGAAAGCAACTGAAGTATTTTACTTTGAAATGTAAGTCAGATGGCTCAAAGTGTCCATCACCTGTAGACGGTTATGTAGGGTAAGTGCACCAGTGAGTGACTGTTTCAAATAGAAAAACATCATATTAAGCTTTTTTTTGCCTAGTCTATCACAAACAGACTTAAAAGTAACTTTGGAGCCTGATTGGAATCTACCCTTTCAGGGGTTCAAAAATAAATTATCAATCCTTTCCTTTTGTAACAAAAACAAAAATAAGAGTTCCAACCAGTTCATCTTCAAGTTTCCCACTAGCATCTCGTACAAATTACTAGTGCACATGTTGCTCGAATTCGAGCAATTTCAAAATATTAAAGGTTTTTTTTTTTTACGAATTACAGTCAACATTTCCGTTGACTTAAAAGAGTCAACTCAAAGATAATGTAATCAATCACTCCACTCCAGTTATCGAAACTGGAAACGAACTCGATCTGAAAACTAACGCTCACTCCACTCCATCTATCGAAACTGAGAACGAACTCACTCTTAAAACGAACACTCTTGTTTGTATCATGTGTTCACTATGAACAGCTGTAATTAATACAAATTATTCGTCTGTTTAAGTAAACAAAATCTTTTCTTTATAAGAAATACATTGGGATTTTGATGGCCTGTGGGGCAAAGTCCAAGGACTTTTATTCCAGTAATTTGTAAAAGGGGGCGTCTACACAAAAAATACTTAATTTTGACACCTCGTTTGTAATAATCCGTCAATTATTAACGGAGGAGTAGTGTTTCGTAGAAATCGCCTTCAGGTATTATATATAAGGATGCTGGTTGTGTTTTGTCATGGTTCTTTGATTATTGATGGAATGGAAATTGCAATATATTATATCATGTAATTCACAGTTAACATTTTAAGATACAATTCTGTACTCTTTTAAGATCAAAAGCCTAACCAACAATTATAATTATTAAAACAGTCAGTAATTTACTGTATTCTTACTTTGGGTAGAGCCAGCAGTTAATGACCATTTCAGTCACTAAATTTATTTTGAATAGTTTAATTTATTTTGATGTTTTGTAAATTGTATACAATGTTTCTGCCAGGTCAAGTGGTAGGAAACAAAAAGTCTCATCAGAAATCATGTGGATACACTTTAGCCTATAACCACTAATCAGGATTTGATTGGGTTAAAAGTTATGGTAATTTACTAGATAAAAAGGGGTCACTCACTAGAAACAATAAAAAAATCTAAATAATATTCTCATAAAACTAATTTTAGATAAATAAATTCACTTTTTCTTGCAATATTGAAACTAAAGTTCAGATACAAAACCATCTTTTTAATTTCTAATGGTGTTGAATGTTTGTTTCTCATAAAAGATTCTGGCTAACTATTAACACTCGAAAATTCAATAATCTTTAATCTGTTACAGATCCTTACAGCTTTGACCTTGTGGTTGATGTTCACCATGTCAAGACTTCAACAGTAGAGTTGACATGGTCTGGAGTTCCTTACCCGGAAGATAAGTACATAAACATCTTCCGTGCTATCTACCAGAGTGAAGGGGAGAGAGAAGACTTCAGCAGTTTCAAGGTGGCCAAGAGAGACTCACCCCCTAACACCCTCATCACTGGGCTCAAGCCCAACACCAGGTAGAGGGGCTAATCAAATTGTTATGGCTAGGGTAATTTAATGTACAGTACTGTCAATGTCGCAACAAGCTGGACCCTCAGTAAAACTTTCTTCCTTCGTAGATTTTGCTAGAAGAAGTAAACACTTAGTAAGGAAATAAAAACTTTGATTTTTTTATTGAATATAAAAAACTAATTCAATACCAGGGTACAGACCCAATGCTACTGCTAAATTAATAAGTCACTCTAAAAACAGGAAGTAAAAAAATTGTTTGTTAAGTTTAAAAATATGTTTGCTGTAAGGGTAAAGACCCAGTGTTATATCTTATCTTATCTTATCTTACAGGGGCAGGTCGAGACCTTTAAGCACTTCATCCGTAATAGAATTATGGCGCACCCCAGACAATTGTTTTCTTGTTGACGTCCAATGAATGCCTGTAGCTTCCCTCCCATTAAGTTCATCCTTGGGAAGATATCTTCCTCTAGCCAGGTTCCCAAGAGTTATCATTCTAGCATCTGAGAGCTTGTTACAATAGACCCAGTGCTATTGCCAATAAATAAGTTATATAGACCCACTGCTATTGTCAAAAGCTGACACATGAAATGATAAATATCTTGGTATAAGACCAGCAGTACTTGATTTGAGTCAAAACATGGTTGACTATTGTTTCAGGACACCTCTCTCTCTCTCTCTCTCTCTCTCTCTCTCTCTCTCTCTCCCCCCCCCCCCCAGAAAGAAATACTTAATTGTTCCATCCAAGTTTATTAAATAAATCTAATAATTTTGATACTCCATTAGTGAGGATGAATGATGAAAGGTGGGCAAGGACAATGACACAACTTTTAGTAAGCAAGCTTTGTTTATTTACTCTGTTATGTACTGCATCTTGATCAGGTTTAATCCTTTAATCAATGTACAAAAGATTTATTACAGACTCACGATTTAAAGTCAAAATATTGATTAAGTCAATTGCATGTAGGTATCACCTGTGGCTGGAAGCATATTTGACTAATGGCAAGATCAAGAAGAGCAATGTTAAAGACTTCACTACAAAAGCTGGAGTGGTGCCAGCAAGTGATAGCTTACAAGGTATGTATTTATTAAATAAATTAGTCACAAGCGATATTTTGTGGGCCATTGTTTCCAAATTAAATAGAGTTTGAGATTGAAGGTTTCTTACCCCTTGGCAGTCAGAAGGCCACTCACTACGTGTGGCCACGAGATCCATAACCTGACAAGTTGTAATATACATACGAAGCGATGCGCCTATAGCTCAGCACTACTCTTGTTTACTTTTTACACTTGGATTTAAATGCCGTGTTGCGAGCCAAGTCCAAAACACTCATCTTTAACCTAACATATGTAAACTTGGGGTCATCATTAGGATTCAATTATTCTCATTCGTATTTAATAAGAACTTTATTACTCAAACATGAGAACATTTATAACAACAAGGCCTATAAATTATTTAATACCTACTAAATATAAAAAAAACATAGTATCTTTTATGGTTAAAGCTGATTCAAAAGCAATGAAAATGGTTCATTAAAAAAAATATATTTAAAAAACTACAAATCCAAATATATTTTACAAGTTATATGATTATTGTTAAGTACTATGCAAATTACCAGCTTTGTATAAGCCGGTGGTGCAGTAAGTAGAAAGAACATATAGCTGATATATAATATTAATTTCAAAGCTTAGTAGTTAAAACAAAATAATATAAAGAAGTATTGTATATAAATACCATTAAAATACATTTTTTTTAATGCTAATCTTCCCCCTACAACCTTCAAACTCGAATTAAATAGAATGATTGTCATATTCGTCGACTTAATAATTCCCGTATAGTATCGGATGTTAGGTCTCTATTTGAGGCCATTTAAAATCATAAATATATATTTATTAAAAATTAAAAGGCTTTAAGGACTATTGCACAATACAACTAATAAAAACGTGTTAAGCTCATAAAAACAACGGCTTGTTGTTGTCTCCAGATAGTGTAGAGGGCCACTATGGGTGGCCGGCCCGAGCTGCAGGGCCACCTTTAGCGCTGACAATGTCGTGACATTAAACAAAATGAGAGGGGCACAACGTGTGGCCTTCCCGATCCATAGGGGAAGGATAAAAGATCATTATATACGACTGCAAAGGGTTAAAATTAGGAATTAAAAAACATTTTTATAATTTAGTAGAACCTTGTTAATTCGGACCAGCCTGGACAAATTTATACTTTAAACTCTGTTTTGGGTCAATTTGTTTAGATTATTATTGATGTTTAGGTAAACTAGAAGCCACTCCACTGGTGGAGAGCAGTGACTACTACGGACCTTTAGTGGCTGTCAGTATACTGGCCACCCTGGCGATCGCAGCAGTCATCATCCTATCTCTCATACTGATGAGGAAACATGGCCACAACAAGGCCCCCATCACAGCAGCCAATCACCGCAAGGCGACCTCCGCCGCCTACGACAACCCTTCCTACAAGGTGGAGATCCAGCAAGAGACCATGGGTAAGCCTCAGTCATAAATACTAAATGAAAAATTCCATTAAGGTATCAGACTAAATCACAGGTACATAAAAAAAAAAAACATCCATTACCATACTATCACCTGCAATTATCTTTACGCCACACTACACTATTTTGATGAACTTCCCACGTAAGGATTTAGTCCAGAAAACAGCTGTTTGCCGCCAGCTTAATCAAATGGGGTTTCATTGCGTACTACTGTACTGTCGGACACCAATCAGCTGATTATACTGTATTTGGGTGGCAATGAGTAGTTATAAACTAAAACATAACCTCTCTTAGAGGTTATGACTAGCTTAAGGCGATCTTTAGTTGGTGGTAATAGCCTATATAAGGATTAGTACAGATTTAGTAGTATGGTGTAAACAATCGTACGTCACTCGTCCAAAATGTGTTTACCGGACTCGTATGGTAATCCCGTACTCGACTTTGTCTCGCACGGGAACGACCACACTCTTTCGGCAAACACTTATTTTCAGGACTAGTAACGTAATATACTCTTGTATGTCCAACTCAACAAAAACAGCTGAAAGCGCTTTTGTTTGAGATAGTGTGTTGTTATTGCGATAGACTGTTTAAAGTGATCAATGAAAGAGTGATCTTAACCATTGTCTCTCTGGTCAGGAGATTGTCCCAAGACTAGGGTTTCAATTCCAGCTCATTCAGGCTTAGTGTGTGAAACTCATCAGGAGGTGGCCTGTTTGTGAAGAGCATTTAAGCTACAATAAACAGTGGACATCTCGGAGTGAAATTGAAATTGACATGATAGTGGAATTCTTCCTGTGTTGTGCAACTTAAATCATTAAATTTGCTCTTGTCTGCTTATCCTTAATGTTGGTGTGTCAGTGTATCTACTGAAAACTTGTTTTAGAACAATATTTTGATTGTTTTGTCCATAAGATGGGGAATACAGTAAAACGCCGATTATCCAAATTAATTGGTACCGAGGTCGATTTGGATAATCTAAAATTTGGATTATCGGACACAGAATCGTAATGAAGAAAAACAAAGTGTTACACAACTAATGAACTTCATTGAGTTGATAACTAAGACATAATAGAGCTGTTAAATTGAATTGAAGTATTGTAGAGGAACAAATACTGATATTTATAAAAACAAAACTACAGTACAATATAAAGTTCTTTTCAATAAGTTCTTTAACAACGCTTACTTGTACATCTCGATCAGCGTAAGTTGCCGTGACCTTGTAGCTCGTTTCCACGCAGCTAGATCACGCAGGCACCGGACGGCAAGAAGCTGTACACCATCGCACTCTGGTTGCAGCTCCATCCATTTGAGGGCGTTGTCAAAGAACATAAATGCCTCACTATGTGATGGTACATTTTCGTCTCCTGCATCTTCGTCTCCCGTGGTCTCATTGTTTTCATCTTCATTTTACTGTTCATCCATGACACTCACTGCGATTTCATCCTCAGTCATTATCTGGTATCCTTGATCGTTCTTATCACATTCCAACCACGTACTATTCCATATCATCGACATCACACTCCAAACAACCCGCAATTTCCTTAGCCATGTTTACTAACTCCTCAACTGACGGCAATTCCGGTTCGTTTTCATTAACGCCAGCAGCTTCAGCAGTTAGTTCTCGCTCTTTAGCTTGCTTTTCTAACTTGAGTTGCTCTTTTGTCGATGTACTGTTTATTTTGTTCCAAGCCCGTTTAAGTGAAACACTCTTAACGATGGTCCCATGGTCCAGGAGTCTGCAATCATGTAGCAACAGTCTTTCAAGTTGATTTTTTTGTAAGAATCCAAAACTTGTTCTTCGTTGTTCTCTTCAGCTAGGAGCAATTTACGAAGCATCTGTTGTCTCTAAAGACGTTTTGTGCACTCAATTACATCCTGATCCATGGGCAGACTTGTCACGATAGGAGGTAAAAAGAGACACTTAAATCTCCCCTTTTCTCTCACGAGAAGCTCCAGCTGATGTGTCGGCGCATTGTCCATAATAAGTAAAACCTTTCCCTTTTTTCCTGTTTCCTGTTTTAAATTTTTTTACTTGAGAAACAAAGGTTTTATCGTACCATTCCAAAAAAATAGTGCTCTCCATCCAAGCATTTTTCTGATTAGTGTAGGTCATTGGTAAGTTGGCTACGTTCTTAAAAGCCCGCGGCTTCTTTGCTTTGCTGATTAATAATAAAAGAAGGCGATGGGTACCGGTAGAGTTAGCACAGACCATTATAGTGACGCGATCTTTACTGACTTTGTGTCCAGGAGCACGATGCTAGTGTTTTTCTTGGCAATGCTTTCCAATTCAAACCAGTCTCGTCAGCATTATACACAAGATCAGGGTCGTACATTTCAGTTTCTTTTTTAAATGTTAACAAATTTATTAGCAGCTTCACTATCAGCAGAAAGTTTTTCACGGGCAATATCCAATTCCCAAATTCTGTGCCGATTCTTGAAATTGCGTATCCATCCCGTGCTTGCATTAAAATCAGCTACACCCATTTTTTCACTGAACATTCGTGCCTTTTCACATAAAATAGGTCCTGAAATAGGTTGTCCAAAAGATCTTTGTTGCAAAAACCAAGTAAAAAATGCATTTTCAAGCTGTTTGTCTTTTGCCTTTTTTATCACTTTTCGTGACAAACATCCATCATCAATTTCCAACGTAGTCACAAAACTTAAAATCTTTTCCCTGTTATTTTTAATGTCAGTAATCGTAGCCGCCCCGACACCAAATCTCTCTGCCAATACCTTTCCTGCCACTCTACGCGGCAGTCGGTTGAATTTTTGCACTTAGTTTTATTCAGGTAATTGGCGATTCGGTTAATCGGCGTTCGGATGGTCGTTGTTTTACTGTAGGCCTATTGAAAATAGGCATAACTAAATTACTGAAGAGCATAGTTAAATATTTATTCCAGTTCAAAAGGGTTTACATTTTATTAGGGAAGGTTTCAAACCATAGTTATGCCTATTGGCTATTGTAGTGATGATTGCCATGACATAACCTACTATGGCAAAATCAAGGGAATTTGTTATAACTTGTTTTAGATGTTTATTATTTCAAGGTCTAACTGACTGATCATTTTTTCAATCAACGCCTACAACTATTTTTGACATTTTCCAGATCTATGAGGCTGGTGCTGCCTGGGAAGCCATTGCCACCTAGTCTACTTTGTGCTTAAGACTAACTAACCGACATTCCTCGCCAAAGACTTAAAATGTTTAAATGGAACCTGGACACTCCACTGTGAGGATTTGGGACTTAAGTAAATCAATGCAGCATTTGTATATTTATAGGATGAGTTTTGCTTTTTTAAGGCAAATATGTATACAATTTAGTTTGTTAAAATGAAGAACTAAACTAGTTCTTGTTTTCTGGTTCCCTGTTGAGTTAACACAAAAAGAAACTGATTTCAAGTTTAAAGGCTATTTCTATGGAATTTCCGGTTAGGGAACTGTTCATCTTATTAAAGATTGATTTTTTTATTCTTAAAATACTGATTGTTTGGTTTAGAAATATAACACTAATCACTAATTAAAATTAAGTAAAAGTACTTAATTAAGTAAAAGTAAAATTACTAAGTAAAATTGGACAATTAATTTTACTGATCAAAATATTTTATACTAAATCAAAGTTTTATCAGGTTTTATTTGGATTATCAGTTATTTTTGTCTCATTGAGACCTTGTATTAGAGGTGCTATGATAACAGATCAACAGAAAACATTGTTGCATAATCTGTGTTAACTCCCATGGCACAAAAAAACTAAGCGAGTTCTGTATGATTTGATTGGGGAATCCCATCAGCTGTAAATTATTTAAATAAATATTGTTGTAAATAGTTATAAATATATAAATATTATACACTTTATTGTAATAATAGATTTACCTTTTATGGTAATTTATAACATTTATTTTGTAAGGTGTGATCAAAAGGTTAACCTTGAACTTCAGTTATCAAAGCACTGTCAACCAAGTTAATCATGATGAAGTTTAACCTTAAAGTTATATATTTATTAGTGCATTCTTTCACTACCATGAACTGGCTTGATAAGAATTGGCATATTACTATCGTGGGTAAAGCTATAATATTTAATTATATTATAGCTATTCCAGAACTATACCTGTAATACACTGGGTGTTACCACGATTGAGAATTTAATATACCATTTATTGTTGACTGAAAAATTATTTAAATAATATTTAAATTTTGAGGTACCGTACTGTAATTTATTTATACTGAATGCAATTAGAGAAGAGAGTCCTGCTAATCCAAACTACTGTAATACTGGGTCTGTCATTTTGTTACTCTATAAAACTGTTTGTCAGACCAATGATAATACTCTTGTAGGTGTCACACAATTTGAGAGAGCGCAAAAGAGAAAAGGACGGAGAAGCTACTGTACTTTTTTTCTCTTGGTGCACTTAAGCTACCGTATGCCAAAAAAATAACCAATTGCTTGTAAACATATCTCTAAAACAGCTAATTGCCAACATTAAAGTGGCATTTAATTTGTATAATTTGTTGTTCAACCATAAAATATTAAAAGTATATCATTTTGTGATACATACAAATTTTGTGCTCTCATAACCCCATCCTATGACAATCATTTACATCACAGATAGTTTATAAGTCGGTAGTATGCAGTGACTATTTTATATATAAGTGTAAAAAGTATTTTGTAATAAATAATTATTTTATAAATTTGATTTTCATTCAAAACCTTTCTCAACAATTTGTCTAACGAATTATGTACAAATTGTACTGTATGTTGTGCCTTAGAGATTTTGGTAACCACCAATAAGTAAAATATAATGACAGTTTGCTAAACATAACATAGCTTGCTTTTTTTGGATACTGACTCCATCTACAGAGTGTCACTGCATGAACTCTCTAATGGTATCGTCCTTTTAAGGTATCATTCCTGGACTATAGACAAACTATAATATCAACTTAATAATACTACTAAAACTAGTCAAGGCGGGGCTTTCTCCAACACGAGCAAAGGGTATACTTCAGTTAAAGTATTAAGTAAAGTATGGAAGAAAATGTGTTATGCATCGCCTGAGTACCCGGGTGGCCGGGTAGTAGATGATGCAATAGGATGACACGACTTTGCCCATCCTGAACAGGTACGACTACAAAAATCTTTGAACTGTCAGAAACTGGGTGAGGTAATAATCCACCTATTGAATCCATCACTTGTGTGAAGTGGTGCACAATACCACCAATCAACCCATTGCTGGACATTCTGAATCAGTCCAGCGTCCCTGCATCTCCTGTTTCTAGCTCTTCTGCCTCTTCCGTCCGGGTACATGCGGGTGCGCTCCTCTGTTCTTGCATGGTCCTCCACCTGTCGCTGATAAATTTGCCTTATCCTCCTATTTGCCCCCTAAAGTTTAACAAGATTACTGCAGCAACCACCAGGATATTCCGTGGATATCCAGTGTTATAGACACCAGTGGCAGATCTAGAACAGTCACAAGGGGGGGGGGGCAAAAAATTGATTGGTGTAAACTAAGTCTCCCAAATGGTAGTTTTATACCATTTCTTTGTCCAAAGTTAGTGTGACAAATTATTTTACGCAATATACTGTATTACATGCGGTAAAAAAATATATATATGTGGTCGCCCCCCATGCCTCTGGATCCGCCACTGTTAGACACTGTTCGGTACAGTTGCTACCCTGAGTGCTGCCTGACGCTGCACACGCCAAGCTGCATCCTATACCTCCTTATTGAGCGTGTCAGCCCACATTTCTGTACCGTACAGGAGTACTGCGGGCATCAACAGCCTTTTTGCAACTGACTGAGGATCTCCAACATGGGCCATTAACCGGCAAGGAGATGAAATTATTAATCACCTTAGCGGAATATCTGGTCCCGCCAGCTAAGCTTAGCTTAGTTTCCATCATGACTCCAAGATACTTGGCAGCACAAACGGTTTGGATCTCGATGCCCCCCCACCTCATTGGCACGATGGTGTCAATCTGCTTTTCAGCCGGAATCATGACCTCAGTAAAGTCACAACACTATTTTTTTTTTCTAGTCGGGCCTTGAATGGATCAGGGTAGGTATCATAGCAACGGGAATTTATTTTCCATTCACTGCGGATGCAACTGAGACTCAACTGTGACTGTGACTGGTCTGTGGCGGAACTGATATGCGTGAATCGAATCGATCGATTAAAACTGCATAAACCACGCATCAAAACAGGCTACAAAACGAGATCAAATGCATTTTTTTATAAATCTATGCTACAAATTTTACCATGAGATGAGAACCCTATTTGCAGTATCTAAAGTCAATGGTTTTGCATGAGTTACGCTAAATCAAGACATAAGACGTTTATTTGTCATTTTTACATGCATGGACAAGTCAAGTTGTTTTCATACAATTGTATGCGTCACATATTCAAAACTTCTCAAAGCCCAAGTCTAGGCTAAATGTTTGTTGTTTCTGTCAAATCTCCTTACGCACTGAGAGATTAAACACTCGCATTTAAACACTCACATTTATTAAACACTCAACATTTTGTAAGAAGCTGAATACAAATATGCTGATAGCTATACAAATAAACGTATTTCATTTCACTTAACCCTTAATTTGATAGCGTGCCATTATCGGCACATGAGGATTCAAAAAAATGTGACGTTCGCCTGTTAACTTGTTAATTCCAACAAACGGCGTCCAAAGGTTCTTTGCCTATTGCTATTATGGTTTAGTGCACTATAGTGGATGTTTTGTAAATTACTATCACTTTAGACCAACATATAGAAAAGGAAGTATGGAGGCTTAGTGTAGAGGTTAGTAAATTATTTATTATTTCAATATTTTAGGCTGTTTACTTATATATCTAGGTGATTTGCACAGATAAAAGATGAGAAAACATAGCCCAGGTCAGTAATTACCTTAAATATGAATATTGATTTTTTTATAAACCAAACAATTTGAGTGTGACAAAAATGGCACATTGCCAAAGATCCAGGGAACAATGAACATTTTTGGGCGTGCCAAAAATGGCACATTACCAAAGATGCAGATTTTTTTTAGTTTATTGAGCGCACCTAAAGTGGCACACTGTTTATAAAACAATGAAAGGTATTTATATTTGTAAATGTATGTCTCTTATTTTTACAAATTGTAAAATAAAAATGTTTTTGTGAGGTAAGATTTTTCACTAGGCTGTTTAGAAAAGACTTTGGCTTTACAAAAAATCCCGACCATCCATGGCAACAAATATCTACTATAAATATCTAATATAAATATAAATATATTGTATAAATATCTAATACAAATATCTAATATAAAAAGAGTTTTATTTCCTGCTGAAAGTGAATCTTCTCATATGAAAGTTGATTGTGCATTCCGATAAAGACTTTGGTACCTACAAATATTTGCTCACCGTATCGACATATCGTTGAATAACGCATTGCTGCTACGTTAACTAAAAACCAGGAAGACAATATGTCACTAACAAATTTTAGCTATGGGATTTTTGAATCCTTACCAAAGAAAGGAGTAAAAGTCAAGTTCTAAAAGACAAGGATTTACTTCTTTCTCACACCAGCTGCTCTGATAATTGTTGAAGATGTACGCTTTGATGGTGTTGGACACTACCCTTTCTTTGTATACATCAAGAGGTCGATGCAGATTTTGCAAAAATAAAAAATCGTCGATAGAGTGTTGAAAGTGCAATGCGAGGCTGTAACTGAAAGGAAGTAGCAATTGTTTTGTGGGGTTTCACCAAAAGTAGATGACGTTTCTTGATGGACATACTCTAATGAAATTTCAAACGATTTTCCTGATGGGCATGACTGATGAAATATCAATAAATTATATAATAATGTATTTTCTATCGGTGCGCCACACGGTAGATTTCTAAGGTGCCGTTTGACGTCACTATTTGCTGACGTCACTAACTGCTGCGTCGGAAGAGGCAGAAGAACAAGAACGAGACCGAGACGTTAGGAATCGCTATTAGCGAGCGACTCCAATAGCGACTCCTCCGAGACGAGACACAGTTTGACTTGACTCTGACATTCCTCCTAGACTCTGACTGACAGCTACCTTACCTACATTTTGACTGTTTATCATTGTGGCTTTACTTTTCGCGACCGATGCTACAGTATAAAAACATAAACACCTGTTTATTCAAGTATTTTATAATCTTCCTACAGTTAAAGTAGCTTTTCTTTCTAAGCCATTGTGTTTGTGTTTGCGTTTGCCACACCGGCGAGTAAAATCCTTCATCCTTCCTTCCTTAGTGGTAAGTACCTATTATTTAGAAGAAGCCAAGCGTAAGAAATTAGTGCTCTGTTTCAGTAAAGTTTGATGTAATAATTAAACTAAACTTAGTTTAATTATTGACATTTCCTTGTCAATTATTAAATTGCAAATTAGTAAACGGCCAAGTAAAAGTTTAAGGGTGACTCAGTAATTAGGCCTAAGGGGTACAGTTTCTTAACTGGGCTACGCTAATATCGATTGAAACAATCGATTCGATTAGTAAGTTTTCATGCGATTTTTTCACCATCAACAAGTTTGGTTGGTTAGGTTATGATAGATTAATTTTATAATAGATATACTGTGTTTTGAAATATCGATTATTCATCAATATTTCAATTCGATAGTTCCAATCGATATTAGCATAGCCCAGTTAAGAAACTGTACCCGGCCTGGGTACTGTAAAATAATGTAGGCCTCTACATAGTTTTTTATTACCTATTAATTATTATTTAACCCTCCAAGTGTCCATAGTTTAGGCCTTAATGTCCACCTATTTTTGGCGCATTTGCAAGGTTTTATTAAAACGGATCTGAGAAGCTTAAAACGATGTTAATTCTAATGTTCTATATACCATTTTGTTTGGAAAATCATGGGCTTCAATATTATATATAAAACATAAGGAACATTTTTTCCAAAAAAAAAATTTTTAGGTAAAAAAAATATAATTTCGAAAATTAAAAAAAAAAAATAAGTTCGCGCTCAATGAAATTGTATAAATTATAGGCCTATAAATATTTGAAAATAGCCACTTTGTTCTAAATTTTATGAGGATTACAAATATATAATAATATAAGGAAGTATATTTGCAAATAAATAAGTTATGGGCAAAAAACTGATTTCAGTACATAGCGTTTAGCTAAGAATGCATAGCCTAACCATAGCTAGGAATCTGGCTGATAATTTACATCAATATCACTACCTACTTCTTCAGGATCATCAACCAGCACTTCAAAACCACTTAAATCTTCTTATAATGCACCACGTATATCACTACTTTTGATTTTTAACACTAAAACAATGATAAACGTAATAAAACACATCAGTCATCGGTCCGGGGGAACCTAGCTGTTTACAAATACACGCACGTCAGCTGTCTGCTACAATATTTTCGGAACTAAAATGAATAGCGCTTAGAGACAGACCTCTGCAGAAAGCTTAGAATATTAAGTACGGAAAGAACGATACCTAACTCGATCCAGTTCAATCCGATTCAGTCAGTTATAGAGCCTTCGCCGTAAACGATGTCTGCTTGTCGAAAAATCGGCAAGTAACACTATACAAAGTGTGGTGCTTGCCGAATTTTCGTCAAGTAACACTGGGAGGGTTAAACGCAATCCATCAGACTAGTTCTGTCAAAGATGAAGAACTCGAGTACGGTATTCAAGTAAGTAAGTTAAGTACCTAAGTATTCAGTCTTAGCTTAAAATGGAAAGGAATAGGCTAGGCGAAAGCTAACTGTAACTTACTTCTTCATCTGAGGCACACTCCTTAACCTCCCTCATTTACAGTAGCCTAGGCCGCATTAACTTAATGTAAAAAAAGTTATATAAGGCATTAAAAAGTTAGCCTATGTGACTACGCTACCTTTCCCCTTTTTATTTTTGGAGAACTAAGTTATTTAAGTTATCAACAATATTGGAGAGTTAACGAAGAACAGGAAACAAAGAATGGAGCGATTGCTATTTAGATGTAACTTAGGCATTTTTCATCATAAAACGTTCTGCGCTAGAAACTGGAAGTGTGAAGTTAAGTTAGCGTACTCATTTATTATCATCTATTATAAGTTAAATTAACTTATTTATTTAATGAGGACTAGTGTAATAAAAATATTGGGGAACTATCTAGAACTAACAATTCCTAACTTATGAACCAAAGTGGATACGCTAACTTCACGGACCTTAAAAGCTACTGGTTTTTTTGTACCGACCTATTAACTGACATGGGTAAATTTAATAAGACTGACTTTATCTTATTTATGTTAGGTTTAAATTGATTGTTTACTGTATTTAGGCATATCTACGAAACTGTTCATGTTGTATATGTAGTCTTAAGCTTTAATTCAATTTATGTGTGGTTGCAGGATATCAGTAGGCCTATCAATCAGCATTCATCATTTTCCTCAGATAATAAGTAGGTAGGCCTACTGTAGGCTTAGGCGTATATTGGATCAAGAGTGGTCAGGCTATTGTGATGGGAAACTAATACTGTACAGTTTTTCTTAACTAAAAGATTTCTGATTTCTTATCCTAACTAGAATACCATACTTCATTTGTCTCCAAAAGATATTCAAATTGAAGACCACTTAGACATACGTATTTAATTTTAAAATTAAATTAGTGGGTGAAAACATTGTTGGTTGAATTTACAAACTGAAATAAAAAAAGGCCTATTTTTAGTAGGCCAAAAATATTTTTTTGAAACTTTTTTTATTGCTAATGCAAGCAAGTTAAACAAATTACTATGCATATTTGCAAGATCTGTCTCGCATATTGAGTATATGGATGCGCCAATATAGTAGGGCCAGTCGCTTGTTATTTGACCAGCGCTACATCATGATGAAAAATTATTATTTACTGTACGGAAAAAAATGCCAGGATCATCATAATGGTTTCTTGAAAACCTGTCTACCAGCATATTTTATTGAAGCAATATCAACATTTGACTGTTTATCATTGTGGTTTTACTTTTCGCGACCGATGCTACAGTATAAAAACATAAACACTTGTTTATTCAAGTATTTTATAAATTATTACTTATCAGTAGCCTAAGTAAGTTAGATGAATTCTGAGCACACGCACAGTGGACTCACTGGCATCCCACTCACAACTGACATGGAACTGGTGCTACAGTGTGGAGAACAAATTTAAAGGCGTTATACATAAGTTTTTTTGAGTGAACCAAGACCGTACTGGGGACATGTTACCGGCGTTACAATTCCAATAAATAATGTCTTGTTAAGGATATTTTGTCTTTAACAACATAATATATTGTAAATATATTATTACTGTATGTAGCCTAACTATTAATATCATATGTTTTTTGCAGGGTCTGAGTATCCAAGATACGTGCCTGATGCCACCAACTGAGGTTCGAAGAGATTTCTATTGTCTAACTTGAGACTTGGGCTTGAATTAAGTGGTTGTATGGCGGTTCTTGCATGTACTTCTTTCTTCTGTTCAGTATTTATCTTTTTTCTGCATGGTATTTAGTGTTTTCTGCATGGTGTTTGTGCATGTTTTTCTTTTTATTTACTTGGACTGTATTGTAAGTCAAGATGACCCAAGAGGATCGTTGTTAATTTGTTATTTTTTGACGTGCTACGTATATCATATTCAACAATGGATGCTATTGACAAGTCTATTGAAATTCAAAATGAAGGAAAAGTTAAGTGTAGTTTTTGTAGTAAACACTTTTCTCAGAAGAAAAGTTGTAATCGCCATGAAAAGATTTGCAAGAACAATATAAATAGAACTGAAAATAAATTTTCATGTCCCATCTGCCTAGTGACCTTCAGTCGAAAAGATAATTTAAAAGTTCACGTTACATCTTGTTCAAATGTCGAAAACAAGGAAGAACCTTCAAAAAAACTGAAAACTCCTTGTATGATCCCAGAATGTAACAAACAATTTTTTCATAAACTAAGATTAATTGAACATCTTCAAACTGCTCATAGTGACCTAATAAAAGTAAAGCCCCCAATTAAACTTGAGTTTAGCAGTGAAGAAGAATTTTTAAAATGGAAAGACAATGAAGAAGAAAGAACTTTTTCTTTTTTTAGCAAAAAAAATTGCCTATCGGGGTTCACAACAACTTTTTACTGCCAGCATGATGGGGCAGCCAAAGTCCACACCCCTAGGAAAACAAGTAGGAGAAACTCAAAAGGAAGAGTAAAGATTGGACACTTTTGCATTGCCCAGATGAAGGTTTGCAGGAATAATTTAACGGATCTAGTTAGTGTAATTTATCATCCGACACATAGCCACGTGTGCAGTCCCCAGGACTACCTTCACCATCCCTTACCTCAAGATTTAAGCTCATTTATAAATTGTCAGCTAGGAGAAGAAGTTTCTCCTTCCAAGATCTTTAATAAAGTCAAAAACATAAATATTGACAAGAGTAGAGATGTGCAGACACAAAAAGTGAACATTCTCACCAAGAAAAGAATCAGGGAGAGAGCACGAAGGCAACGGATGGCACAAAGACTCCATGAAGATGACGCAAAATCTGTCTACTTAATGGCCAGTGAAATGGTATCTAAAGAAAACTCGGTCGTCATTTATAAGCCTTATGGAGCAGATGTGGTGTATGGCCCAGAAGATGTCAACAACCTCCCTTACTCAATGGAAATTTTCATGTTTGGCTTCCAAACTCCCAGACAATTACAGTTGATGAAAGACCATTGCAACAACATTTTAATCGTAGACGAAACTCATGGAACCAACCAGTATTCCTATAAGTTGCTGACATGCATGGTAGTTGATGACAACAGAAGAGGCTGGCCAGTAGCCCATTTGGTTACAAACAAATCAGATGCTGCCACACTAAAATTTTTCTTTAAGGGTCTTAGTGAAAGAATTGAAGATCCAAGTCGCATCAATTGTGTCATTACTGATGATGACAGTGCCATTATCAATGGCATTGAAGCAGGTTTTTCTTCTCCTATGCGCCACCTACTATGCCGTTGGCATGTAATTAAAAACTTAAAGGATAATGTAAGAACCAAAGTCCCTAAAGATCTGTTTGAGGATGTATTTAGTGAAATAAGAGTTCTAATGAACATTGAAGACCTCAATATGTTTGAAGATTTGTGTGAAGGGTTCTTAAAAAAGTACGAAGAAAAAGATAAAACTGAAAAGTTCATAACTTATTTCAGACAGCATTATCTGAACCGAACAGAAAAATGGGCAATGTGCCACCGGAACTTCCCCCATGCTCAGGTAAACACAACAGGTCATGTAGAGTCCTTCCATAATAAGTTTAAAAAAATGTACCTCAAAAGGAGAGTTAACAAAAGGTTGGATGACCTCATAACAATGCTGCGCAACCTAGAATGGGAAGACCATTGTAACCGCCAACGAGAAGCTTTGGTGGGATTTTCACCAATCCCACAACATATTGGGGAACGCCACCAGAAGTCACTGGCTATACCTGATGAAGCCTTGGTGGAAATCTTGGCCAATACATGGGAAATAAAATCCCAGACAAAAGAAAGCGAAGTGTATGTGATAGTATGTTACAGTAATACATGCTATGAAGACTACTGTTTTGTCAAGTGCACTCAAGTACAGTGTGATGGCCTCTGCTCACATTTATATACTTGTACTTGCCCTGACCAGCATTCACTGTGCAAACATATACACAAATTGCATTCCTATCTTCGTAGAGGAAAAGCCTTCTCCACAACTTTTTGTAGCTTTGAAGAGAGTCTTCAACCAATTGAAGATCAGGCTGATCTAGATAAAAGATCAACTACTGAGAACATGGCTGCTAGGAAGTCAAGCTCTCTACTGGCCAAAATAGAGCAGAACTTATCTACTCTTTCACAGTTCCAGATGTCTGCAATAGACAATAAAGTCAGTGAACAAACATTGAGGCATGTAAATTATACACTGACCAACTTAGTTAATCACATTCAGATGTCGGATGGTAAAAGTCAACTTGTAAACGTAAATGAGATGAAAGCTGCGGTTAAGTTCAATTCGCAAGAGAAACTCAAGACCCAAGTATCCCAACTTTTATCATTTAAGAGGCCAGTTAGTAAAAGGAAAAGGAAACCTGCAGACTGTAAAGAGAAGAAAGAAACTGTCATAAAAAATCTTCTTGATTTTTTGCCCTAGTCCCATTGTCCCCAAGAAGATTTTGAGGGTTGAAGCTAAGTTTAAGGGTAAGTTGACGAATTACTAATTTAAATATACTTACTAATTGTGACATAACACAGTAGGCCTAATATCCTGAATAATTTATATGGACACATCTGTCAAATGCCGAGCTCTCATTGGTCTAGATCCAATAATCTAAAGTGACCCCCGTAATGTAATGTTAACATTACCTAACTGGTTTGTTTTTGGTTTTGTAATGTTCTTTGTGATCTTACTTGCAATATCATTATTAGTCTGGTCGTAGATAAAATAATTTTTAATTATAGGCCAACATTAAGAAATGGCAACCTAGATTTTCGTGGACATTTACCATAAAGGATTAGTAAAAACAAAATTTACCGTACTACACTCTGTTTTTACTACATTGTGATGGCAAATGTCCGCAAAAATCCTAATTGGCCTATAATATCCTTGATTTGTTTGTAAATTAGGCCTTAATTATTTTCATTTTGTAAGCAAACATGTCCTGTGTTTTTTAATGTAATTTTAAGAACAGTCCTTTAGTTAGGTGACAATATAACTTATCTTTAACAAGTTCAGGGCTGATACAGTCATACAGTAATACTATACTTATGGCAACAAAATGATAAAGGCTTTGTAATACCATACTCTTGTCTGCCAGATATTTAAGGCTTGCCAGATTTTGACTGTATGTAATGTATTTTTATTTCAGTGTCTTTTAGCGATTACATCAATTGAGCATGTTTATACTCACAGCTCAGATGTGTTCAACTATTCCACTAGATATTGTGGCAATCTGCATGTACCTATCTAGATGCAGGGTTGACAAAGTAGCCTACTGGACGGCTGCCAAGTCCAAAAATTGTTAAATTGTTAAAACCTGGCTTCTAGAAAATCCTTTCTAGGCTATAGCCTGAGTGAGTACAGTATAATGAAACTGATTTCTCACTGATGACAATTGGACTTGTATAAAGTAATTATATAGCAGCCTGTTCTTGCATGTTAGGTATCAATTTTTTTTTTACTTATTTTTTTATATGTTTTAATGTTTTTCTGCATGGTGTTTGTGCATGATTTCTTTTTTAGCAAATTTCCCATATAGGGAATAAGCTATTACCGTAGTACTCATGGTAAGACCTGGACCCGGGACCGATTTACTTTTTTGTTTTGAGGTCCCAGAGGCCAAAAAACACCATTAGATCAAATTCATTTCCATGTTATTCTTATGGAATAAAATTAAAATGTTGTAGTTTACTTGTTTATGGATATATGTTATAAAATTTGGCAAATTTATTTCTTTCATCCTATAATAATGACGTGTGGTCAAAAAACACTTTTTACCTTCCCAGTAGCAGCAAACCTAAGCACTCATTAAATCTAGGGGATAAATGTGTCTTATTTATGGAAACTTTTTGTACAAACGTTATCAGACAAGTTGAAATTCGCTTAGTCTGCAGGTTTGCTGCGGCGGGGGTATTATTAACTTGGACTGATTAGTGTACATCAAGAGTGCCAAAGAGGATTATTATTTGTAAATTTTTGACCTAGCCTAATTACTTGCATGTTGAATGGCCTAATAAAATTTTGATTTTGAACATGTCTGTTGTGTAGGCTAATATGAGCGAAGTCAGTCAGTCAGTCAATTTGCTACACTTAACACGTTCCCTCCCAAGCTACAGGTCACTGTGCCTGCTGGTAGTCAATGTGTTAAAGAATATTTTTTCTCAGTTTTTACTGAAATGTATATAAAATCATTAAAGATGTATATGTCTGACAAGGGGACTATTAATTCTTTTTTGTTTCAGGTCATGGCCTAATTTTCGTTTGACACATATGCTTGGATACTTGGATTATGCTTGGTTCCACTGAAATTGTAACTACGACGTGGTAGATAGCTTTTCCTTTTTGGCGGGTTTTAGCCGCAATGAAGAGGTTCATCATATCATGCGCTTCATAAAAAAATTAATCCTTTTATTTGTAATTTCACCATATTCAGTTCTTGAGTTATACTTCTTGGTTAAAGGATGTACAATTTGACACTGCAATAGTATGGTAATTTACTGGAAGTTATATGTATGTATAATTTATAATGCACATGTTGTGTATTCTATTAATTCATGTTTTTGAATTATAAACTAACTGTAGTATAAAGGACTGCTATACTTGTGTTTATTTTTTCCTTGAAAAGGTATCATATTGCGATCCAGTCCAATTTAGGGCCGAATTTACTGATGTTGAGGCCCAAAGCCAAGCTTTGTGTGTGACTCCATCTAATGTTTGTATTTAATTACTTAATTATATTTACTTCAGTATTGACATGATAATAATACTATAATAAACTTTTCAAGTTTAGAAGATGTTTTCATTCCCAGTTTGATATTTTTGTCAACTGGTTACTAAAGAAATACTGAATTTGAACCTTATATCACTTGCTCTCAATCGAAAGTAATTTAATCTGGTACTGAGTTTAATTATTCTTGCCTCGAATCAGTTTTTAAATCAAATTCTTTAAGCAGAAAATTGGTACCTGTGTTAGAATGCAAAAAGGATTTAGAAAATCACAAGATAAGCTCATTTATGATAGAATGTTTTTTATCTCTTTTCTACCAAAATATGAAATTCTTGAGCTCTCTAAAGAAGGGAAATACTTTATAGTTTTTATACTTTTCAATGAAATTGTGAACATACAAAATAGGTATTTTTAGCCAAGTATGAATGGAGATGAGTGTAGAATGATTGACACAATCTTGTAGTCTTGTTAGTGACTTAAGGCCGACATTCTTAGACACAGCTATTAACTAATAGCCCATACAGCTAATGGCAACTAAGGGACGGCCTACAGTTTATAGTGGAATCCGAACCAAATTTTTGCCTTGGTATATACAAATTGGCGTAATTATCAGGATAGTACTGCGGATAGTCGTAGTACTCACTCGTGCGGATGTTAATCCACACCAGGGAGTATCGCATCCACGGTGCTTGCCTATTAATATCCAAAGGACGTCACCAACCGTCCCATAATGTAAATTTTTTTTAACCAAAAAAGCTCCTCTTCCTCCAATTCAAAGGTATCAAAAGAGATGTTTGCACAATTTTGTTTTTATTTCCTTTTGAGTCAATCTGGTATGTAATAGAGTGATAGGCATAGGCTTTTGATGTTGACAAATAGAATTACAACAGAAGCAGCAACATAAATGTTTCTTATCTTAACAATGTTGCAGACAACTATAAGAAGAAGGCAACCAAGGACATAGCTGTTGCTTGAAAGTTTTTTTAATTGTTTAGTTTAAGGTATAAGGTGATAACCTGGATAAGGTGCGGGACATGAACATCACCTCTTTTAAAGCAGCCATCAGAAATAGCTTGGTAGATAGGCTACTGTACTCGGGTGAAGAGCCCCTAAAAGTTATATAAAAGCCCTTCCTTAAAAAATGGGGAACACGTTTTATTTACCGCCACAGCCTGATTAAGTTTATATGTATGTAAATAGTAGTGTTTATTTTTAAACGTATATATAATAACGCAGTCTATCCGACATTGTCCAGCACACAAGTATCAAGTAAGTTTAAAAAGGTTGACGATTCAACTTGCTCATGAAATATGTAGGCTTTCAGTGGTGGATAGTTGTACTAAAATCTTACCATTAAAATCTGACAAACAGCCAGCTTATTTACCTAAAACATGGGATATGGCAATGAATTTATCCATGAATCTATCCACTAGTGTGACGTCATGGGTCCTGCCTTTGCTTTATGTCAACGACCGTCCAATATAAAAATCAGAGTGGTTGAGGCTGATTCGCTGGTAATAATTTGATGGTTAACTTAGATATTTTTATTTCTCAATCCAGAAACCCAGGTAGGCCTATGTTTACAACTGCATGATCTAAATAATTTTTAGTTACTCTTAGATGGGATAACCGAATGGTTTCCATGACCGAATAATCAATCAGTTATTTTTAGTTGAATGAATCACCGAATCAATTTTAGTCATTATTCACTGTCACAAAGCACAACTACCGGTAATTTTTATCTTATGGGAAACTGAATGCCATTTAGTCTTTTAGCGTCAATCGGTGATTTTTAGTTGAACGAATCGCCGAATAAATTTTAGTTTCCTGATGATGTGACAAACTGAATAACTAAATCACCGAATCGCTCGGTAAGACTAATTTAACCGAACCAGGATAAAATAACCGAATTAGTCTATTCAGCATCAATAACCGATTGATTCGGTTATTTTCATTCGGTGATTCCCACCACTAGCCTATAGTGACTTTATAGCAAAGAACGATGGGGATTCTAGCTAAAACTTAGAGAGCCTAATTTGAAATTTGTAGGTGAACTGATGGAACAATGAAATCTTGATAAGAAATTGTTAAGATGTTATTGGAACATTTAAGTATAATTAGATGCTTGCTTCAATGATGTTAGTGTATTATCTTGAAGTAAAATTTTCGTTAAACCGTTTAGCAAATTTCTCTTATAGGGAATAAGCTATTACCGTCACAGGTCTCATGGTAAGACCCAGGACCGATTTACGTAAAATTCATATATATGTGTGCCCGTTAGTGCGATGACTATCAAGCCAAAATCCCATTTTGATTGAATTTGGTACAAACATGTAAACCTACACCAACATGAGGGGACTATGGGAATGGGGTTTTATACAGTAAAAATTGGTTTGGTTTTTCCATTTTTTAGCCTAAACGCAAAAAAATTCATTATTTCTTTCCAAACCATTTTGTATAGCTTAAAAAAATAATTAATTTTGTATATTGGAGCGTACAAAGATAATTTTAAAAAACTGTAGAAATTAAAACTTCCATGTTATTCTTATAGAGAATATAATTTAAGTTGTAGGCCTAGTTTGTTTGTTCTTATTACATTTTTGTCAATTTATTGTTTATTTCATACTAGCCTATATCAACATTTTAATATAAAAAAAACACCTCAATACCTTCCCTGTAGCAGCAAATCTAACTACTCACTAATTACAATGAATTAGGCTGATGTTATTTTAATAGGAAATAAGTCTGACAATTTTAAGTAAAAATCAAGGCAAATGGAGTCTGCAGGTTTGCTGCAATTTTAACTTGCAGGAGGATTATTTATTTATTGTAGGCTAAATCTAATTTGATATTATGGCATCTAATTGACGTTTCATGTATTCTTCCTTGTGTTATTAAAAATACTCAACTATTGATCTGAATGACAATAGAGAACGTATTAAATGGACTTAATTTTACAACAACGAACGTGCAAAACTTTCCAGTGCAGTTCTCCACTGGTTCCGTCCGAGTTGCGAGTTCCGATCCGACTCAAGACTCGACTCAAGCTCGACGCTCGCGCCGACTCCGAATCGGTGTCGGCGTGGAACGGTGACGCAAGCAGTTAGTGACGTCAAACGGCACCTTAGAAATCTTCCGTGTGGCGCACCGTATTTTCTATTGTAATCACATAGTTTTGTAGAGGTTTTACATGTATAATGACGTTCAAACCATTTTATATTAGTTTTATAACTTTTGTGGAGAAATAGATTTGTTATATCTTACATATAATTATAGTTATACAATTTTGATATTTAATATGTGATAATGTCGACTTATTCAAACCCTAAAGTTTATTTTTAAGTGCTATACAGATAAACTTGTTGTATTTAATTCATCATGAGATTCCTAGAGAAGTCTCCGCATCTTCGGCAAAGTGCCAAAAATGGCACACATGAAAAAATTGGGAAAAATACTTATAAGAATTTTAAAATTAATTTTTTGAAGTTCCTTTGGACCCATTTGATTGAAATATATCAAGGAAAAAGTAGTTTTCAAAAACAGATTTGTTTGCCAAATTAAGGGTTAATTTCATTTCAGAACATGGAACAATTACATGTCAAAGCATCCACGTGATCTTTTCCATAAACCTCCTTGCTTTCAAATTTTATACCTCTATGGATATGGTGTTGTGTGCTCGTGCTGCAGTTGGTATTAGTGACAATGATAAGGTAAGGTACTCACTCAACTCAATCAAACTCAAACACAACACAAGTTATAAGATAAGATTTGTTTTTGTTTTAGTTAGTTATCAGTTTATCTAGGCTAGGCTAGTCCTTAATCATATCGTTATGATTCATTTCAATCAGTTGGCGAAGTTAATTTGAGGTATGGCTTCAATAGATAGGATATTATTTAATGTGAACTAGCCTAGGAAAATTTTATGTCTGTTTAGTTTTATCCCACACATTTCCAATACTTTTATATTGTTGAATTAGAATATAAAATTACTTTTCACTGAATGTCACTTTCATAAAAAATGTAAATGTAAGTTTAATAGAGGTTATAACAACCTTTCTTAAATATTTTCTACTTTTGTGGAGTCGTAAATTAAAGTTTATAGTTTAGTCATTGATTGTTAAATCTATTAGGCCGGTATTACACTATCATAGTTCTATGACATATTATATTATCAAATATATGATAATATGTTCTCCTTGAGAGAACATATTATCATAGTTCAAAACCATTATAATAGTTGGTACATTACACTGTAATAATTTTCATCAAAGACATATGATAATAGATATATGTCATAGAACTATGATAGTGTAATACGGGCCTAACATAGCCTTCATCTTCTAGTGTCTTCATCCTAACCAATCCTACCTATATTCTCATAATTTGTTGGCCTTGGCTGTTTTTATAATAACCGTAAGTAGAATGTAGAGTTACTTAGCCTAATTTTTGGCTCATACATGTTACAAGGTAATAGACCAACTTGAATGCTATTTAGGAAACAACAATGAAGAAAAATCACTTTAGCAATGCCCTATGCCCTAGGTTGAAGCAGACATCTTAACTGAACTCATTTAGGCCGATTTGTCTTAATGTTTTCTGTAATCTAGCCTATAATAATAGGCCTATGCAGGAAAGACCTTGTCAGAATTTAACTTTCATGTTAATTTGTAACCTAGAGTTGGGTAGGCCTACTTAAATAACTTATTAATATAGGTCTAAACATAATATATTCATAATAAACTTATTGCCAAACGGCTAAATCATTTTCCAAAATAATATAGCCTAGGTCTAAGTTACTTATTACTGATTTTGATAAGTTATGATTGATTACTTATGTAGGTAGCTCACTGATGTAATGATGGTTTAGTTAATCAATATAAGGTATTAATTCATATGTTAATCAACTTGCTAGTAACTTATGTCCATCAGTCTAGACTAACTTATCTTTTTGTTGTTATATTCTCATGGTTGTGGTTAAACCTTCTGTAGCCTATTTACTATACTCCAACACCTTGGTCTTGGTTATTTTCAACCTGTTGTTATACTTCACAACATGAATGAACAATTTTTGTTCAGTCACATAATAATTGTTTTAGATCCCTTGTTAAAAAGTTGAATTAATTTTAAGCCTAGGCAGGGCCGCGTTAAGGGTCAGTGGAGCCCTGGGCAAACCCAAGAGTAGCGCCCCCTTTTTTCTAGTGCTGGCTGGTGTTGGTTTGGGGGCACCCAGCGGACGCCCCTAAACCACCGGCGCCCCTGGGCATATGCCCAGTCTGCCCGTTTATAAAAGTGGGCCTGAGCCTAGGCCTATTTATTTGCTCAATTGTTAACCATTTTCAATAAGACCAAATTGCTCATGCTCAAGCTGGATGATTTCTATCTAATTATAAGTTAATACTAGGCCTTTAACTTAGGTGTTAATTCACAACTAAGGCCAAATAGGGTAGGCGGGGGGAATTGGGAGGTATGTTTTACAAATGTATCTGGTTAGGCCACTTTTCCTATTTTTGTTGTTAAATGCCTACTTAATTAATTTTATAATACAAAAAGCTATCTTTTTCATGTTTTATTTTTTTCCCGCAATTCCCCCAAAAAATTAAAAAAATTTAAATGTGTTTTACCACCCAATTACCCCCATGGGGGTAATTGGGTGGTAGGTCAACAATCCATAAACACTAAATGCTAATTAAAGTTGGGAAATTGGGTGTTATAAAGGAAACTAAAAGCAACATTTTTAACTAGGTTTAGTAAAAAACAAACAAAATTTACCATAAATTTTGTGGTGACAAACATATTTTTCCTAAACTACGCACATAAAAAAAATCTTTAACCACAATTAAATATTATGGCCTACAGTTTTTTAAATTCATAATATAAAGAGTACATTAATAATATTAACAGGAAAATAGGGACAAATGTTTCTCTAATAAGGTTTAAATTATGTAATATGGTCTCGAAACTTTACAAAATGAGGCACGATTTTCCAGTCCTTCGCACGATATAAAACAAGGGAGGCTGTATAAACTAATGTACTGTAGGCCTAATGCACTAGTTTACTACATCAGCTCAGTCACTACTGCAGTCTTTATGCCTATTTAAGTAACTATAATACAATTTTGTGACTTTTTTAGGTCTTCTGGGTTCAGTCCAATGTGACGTGAACTCACGGGTATTGAGTGGTATAGGGTTAATGGTATTGGTATAGGGGTAATTGGGTGGTAGTGGTGAAATACCAAAACAAAAACTCTAGTGTGAATTATATTCACAAAATATTATTATTATTGCCTTTTTTAATTAAATTAAGCCAAGGAAACAGTATTAGCTCAGTTTTAAAATTTACCACCCAATTTCCCGTAAGGGGGTAATTGGGTGGTAACATTTTTGAAAAAAAAAAATAAATAAATTAAAAGTAGTTTTATTATGAAAATAAGTATTGGGCATGTTCTTTGGTATATTTTTATTCATTTTATGGTGAAAAATAATGTAATTTCACATGTATGAAAATTTTAATGCATTTTATATGAAAGATTGAAAAAGTTTGCATACCACTTTTAGAATCGCGAAATGACAAGGGTCCCTAAAACTATTTCCCTCCTTTAAATGTTTAAAGGTACAAATCTGAAAAGGTTATGGCTTATTCTTGAAGAGATTGGCTGTCCATACATGTCATTTAAATGTTAAAATATCAATAATTAAAAAATATAAAAATTGTTAAAAAATTTACCACCCAATTACCCCGCCCACCCAATTCCCCCCGCTTACCCTACACACTTACCGGCAAAATCACTGGCCATCGGTACCGGCAAAAGTTTAGAAACAGGAAAGCCACACTGCTCTGGTCCGGTGGAAAATGCCCCGCAAAACCGCCAGATATTCTCTACTTTGCCTGACCGGATGCTCTGCCGGCACGGCCCGCAAGCCATTGTACAAATGGAGATGAACACATGTCCCAACAAAAGAGCCGGACCTGCCCCTGCCACTCCTCCACAAATAATTTATGTCATATAAGTTAGGCTTCAAATTATGACGTTTTTTTACCTGTTACTGATAGCATCTCTTGTGGATCACAGTTTCTCAGTGTCTTGTCCCTGTATTTTAACTCTTAGGCCTATCTTGAAGAAAAGCTCGTCGAATACAGTCACGGACATACGGATATAATTTAAAAAAAACTTATTTTGGCCATTCCTGGCCTGAATGAAATAAAATATAAAATCCTTCATGAAGCTGTCTTTGTCCTAGAATGGGATGGACCCAAATACTCCGGCGGTGTTTCCTCTTTCTCATGTGGAGGAGCAAACATAGCAAGGCCAATTTATTCGGATTTGACAACACCATTTCAAAAACAATAGTTCATTGCGCTCTATTTATTGTTGCCGGCTCCAGCAAAACAGTTTTTGTCGGTGTAAGTGTGTTCTGATATTCAACTGTCCCCGGCTTCGACGGAACCGCCGAAAAATCAAAATTTAACATAGGCCTTATGGGTTGCCGTGACAGTTTCTCTCAAATGTAAAAAACTAATCAAAACCTATGTTAATAACTTACCGAGCAAAAAAAAGAACAGTCAGAATAATACCATTGATAATATTATACGGTAGTTTAACAAAATAAATAACCAATAAGTTCAATTTAAGAGTGGTGGTTTTAATGAGAAGATAAAGCTGAATATATTAACTCATAGGCCTCATACCTTTTAGGGAATTCCCCATTTAGGGAATAAGCTATTACCGTAGGTCTCATGATATGACCTGGACCTAGGACTGATTTACTCTTTTGTTTTGATGTCCTCAGAGGCCAAAAACACTATCTGTTCAAATTCATATAATATTTAATACTTAAATATATTATGTCTGTTAGCACGATAACTCAAGCAAAAACCTTCTGATTTTGATGAAATTTGGTACAAATGGGTAAACCCACATTTATTTAAACAGTTTCGCAAACCAGCATGATTGGACTATGGGAACAGGGTTTTATGGGGTAGAAATATTTTTCGTATTTTTGACCTTTAAAACAAAAAAATCCTAATTTCTCTCAAAATCATTTTGAAGAGCTGAGGAAACCGAATAATTTAGTAGGCTATATTGAAGCGTTTTTGTACAGTTAATATGGAGAAAACTCAAAATATTGTAAATTTAAAATTCCCATGCTATTCTTCTGTAGAATAATTAAATACTTATAGTACAGGTTATGTATTTTGACCAAACTTGGAAAACACATTTTTTCATTACCTATTATTTTACTAAAAACACACTGTATTACCCTCCCTGTAGCAGCACGTTTTTAATAAAGCTAATGTTATTTAAATAGATTTAACTTAAGTAAAAATTTTATCAGGCATATGGGAATTCGCTTAGTCAGCAGGTTTGCTGAGGCAGGGGGCTATTTTTTGATTTATCAATCTGCAGATTTGAGCTAATTTATTTTGACTCAACTATTTCATGTGAAATTTCACAACATTCTTTATTGTAATGCATGCATCTTCTAATATAGGCAGTGGCGGCTAAAGGGGGGGGGGGCTTGGGGGGGGAGCTAATTCCTTTAAGGTTGATTTACAAATAGCCTAAAATACATCTTTGGAGCTTATATTTTTTCAAAAATTTTTCCCGGCCCCCCTTGACACTGAGGGGTATTCCATAACCCCCAGCAATACCCATACCCCCCAGGGGTATTTCGTGACCCCCCGGGCAGCCCAGCTTAGCCCCCCCACATTTTGGTTTCTAGATCCGCCTATGAATATAGGTTTAATAGTAAATGACCATAACACTACACGCTGGCGCTTGTCAATCGAAGTAACTAGAGGTCGTACGGAACGAGGTGAAGCTTGGAGGGGAATAGTGGTGTGGCGGGAGAAGTGTCGCTATGCGAGG